TTTTTTTACTGGGGAGATATATGGTAAGGGGCGCCCAGCGGGAAGGGGCGCTTCAATATCGTTTGCACCCCTATCCTAGAATACCTTCCGCCGCCACTGAATCGATCATCTTTTAGGAAGTGTGTATTGGCGTTTCTTAGCTCTCGGTGAGCCCTGTACATAAATGTGGTATTTTTTATTAGTGTTATTTGTGCTTTTACTTTTTAACTCCGTCTTTTATTGGGTTTTGTACCTGTTGACGGTTTCAATAAATACAAATACAAATACAAACCCAAAGTGATTACGTCAAATTTCAAACTCAATTTGATTCAACTTAGAAACTCAATCACTCGTTCTAGACCACGCAGCGTAAAAGTTTCAGTAAGACCACCGTCGTATTCCCCGTGACGAGCTGCATCAAATATAAAATCCTTTTTTATGTAAAATATAAATATAAATATTGAAAGTTAACGTTTTTTACCTGACCTTGACCTGACCTTCACCAGAAGGTAACCTTAACCCGCGCACCGACGGGGGGGGCGGATATCCGCCCCCCTGAGGTTTTTCGCGAATAGCGGGAAAACCGCGGCGCGTAGCGCCGCAAAATTTGGTATGACTATAACCTCATCAATTTTACACATGGTGTGCAAGTTTGAACCTCCTACCTTTTAAGGTCAGGTCACCAGGTCACTTTGAATGACCCAACCTCAAGTCACTTTTTTGCAACTTTGTCACCGTGCCAGAGCTACAGTAGATGTCGGAGGCCTTTGAAAGTCGCAGGATATTATTAGGTCATAAGTAGCTACAATTTTTATATCTCGGAATTTTGATATCGGTGACCTAAGGTCAGGTCAATTTCGCGACCTCCCCATTATAAGTCAATGGGGGAAAAATCAACTCCCTGTTTTTACCACTAAAACGGGTCGGAATGGCCCCATATACCATACATGACTTCATATACGATCAACCTTCACTACCTTGAGGTCTGTTTTGCTGTTGGGCAGCTGTGGGGTCATGTGACGTCATCAAAGGTCACCAAAGGTTTTTGGCCAATAACTCCGTACAGGAACAAGATACAGACGCGTGGATGGTCTCATTGTGTTCAGCTCGTCAAGACGCATCGAATGATATACATGATGACCTCGAGGTCACGTGACCTGAGGTCAACCTTTGACCTTGACCTTTCGAGGTCAACATATATATCATTCGATGCGGATTGACGAGAGGATCACGATGATGCCCTTAGTTTGTTCCTATCTTGACTAATTCGAAAGTTATTCGAGAAAAACTCTCTCCATATCTAGCGCCGCCATTTTGGCTTTTTCGACCCCTGTGACGTCATCTTTGACCTGACCTGAAAATGACCTTAGTAAAAATTGTAGATCTTGGCCGTGCGTGAGCCGTGTAGATCTTATCCGATGCCGTTTACCGCTTGTCGCTATCTTGCTTCGTTCTCGAGATCTCAGGGGGGGGGGCGGTCATCCGCCCCCCCCCCGTCGGTGCGAAGTTGGCGCAGACCCCCGTCGGTGCGCGGGTTAACTGGCCTAAATGGTCGTCTAGCCCACATCATTGAATTTGAAACGTGAAATTGACCATACACATGTATCACGCGACCATAGTATGATTGGGTTCATATTGTGACCCATAGTGACCTGACCTCTGTGGCCTGACCTGGTATCAGCGACATCATTTAGTAAAATGCGTATTAGACAAACAATACTCAATCAATGATTTTCGATATTCTGCCTTTCACTCGATGTAATAAGAGATTTCTTAGAAGGCCTGTAAACGGTCAAAAGAGCGACCTTTGACCTGACTGGTGACATCAGTTGCAACCAGGTCAATTAAATTTTGTCACTTGGTACTTCCCCGGTGGGGCTATCCAACGCCGTTACAATTTTGAAAATCAGTCGTTAATTTTCAGAGATCTTAGGGAGCCGAATCCCCCCCCCCCCCCCCGCCCAACGGATGGCAGGGCCCGGGGCGCCCGGGGTGCCCAACGGGGTGCAAGAATGCACACTGCACGCGAAAGGTTTCTTAAAAGGTTAGGTATCTGAAGAAAAAGTGCCTTACGAAAATTATGAAAGTTATGTAAGCGTTATGAATGTTGTATATGTTACGGGTCATATGCTAACTTGGGCAGTATGCAAACTACCCGGGCAGTATGCAAACTACCCGACAGCCCGGGCAGTATGCATACCGCCCGGGTAGTATGCATACTACCCGACCCCTTGGGCAGTATGCATACCGCCCGGACAGTTTGCATACTGCCCGGGTAGTATGCATACTGCCCACCTTTCATCTCACGGGCAAGATGTTTACTCGGGCAATATGCTGACCGCGGCTCGTGAGACTATAGTTAATGCAATAGCTCGCATACATGGCTATGACAGACGCTTTAGCCCTCGCATGTGTGGGGCGTTTGCTAGCATCTAACGTGTAGGGGAGGGGCCGGTTGGACCCCCCCCCCTGCCGTTCAGCCCCTGATCAAGCTAGAGCTTCGCGACAAAAAAAAAGCGAGCGTGTTGCCCGTGACGAGGGGAAGCCAACGATACCCAATTTTAAGGTCCTAGGTCATTGGTTGACCTTCCAGGTCAGGTCAATGACCCAAAAATCGGGAAAATCTGGACCTGCTAGAACTTCGTAAAGTGAAGCTGTTCTTAGCTTTTTGGGCGTTTTTGATCACGAATTTCATGTTAGTTTTGATCGCAATTCGCAGTTGATGTCTCTATGCATTTAGGCCATGTCGGGTCAGGTCAGATCAGGTCAACCATGAGGCGTCCTGTGTTTCTCTTATTCAGCATCGTGTTTCTCTTGTCGAAACGCGTCGAATGCACTATACCTAATTTGACTTTAAAGGCCACTTTGAAAATTTGACCTAAGGTCAGGGTCATGACCTGACATTGAAAGGTCTTGTTCTTTATTAGCCGATCATTATCGTCGACCTGAACACATCTAAGGTCGTTTACATCGCTCCAACGTGTCTCCGTCAAAAGTTATCGTAAAAAACTGCTGGAGACTTTTGCTGACCTGAGATGACCTCATGGTCATAAAGAGAGGTCACAAGTGCCATTTTCCGATTCAGCGTGTCATATTTACCTGTAACCCAATGTTTGAAAGTGCTTAAAATTATTTTCACCCAAAAAGGCGTCTTTCAACTTTATCCTGTCAACCTCTGAGGGGGACTACGCAAAAATGACCTGACCTGAGGTCATCATCGATATTATATCAAAATTACGTGTTTTGTATGTGATTTGTATATGTGTTTTGTACACACTTTTACTCTATTAGGTAATCGTTAAGAGTTTTAAAGCGATAGTTGAGTCGGTACAGCTATGGCGAGCATACAAGCTTTTTCTGAGATAAGGTCACTTGAACTGACCTGGTAACCCGACCATCAGAACTTGTAACGTCTTACGTGTAAGTAGTTTCATACAGCATTTGCTATTGAAACTGTAATAAAGCCCTCTACAGGTCCAGGTGCCAATCCAAAGCCAGCGAGTGATGACACTCTAGTCACGCTATATCTGGCGTCATTTTAGATTAAAGTGACTTGTTGGCCGCTGGCTAATTACCAATGAAATTCTGAGGAGAAAAAAAACTGAGTACTTATATTCCAACCCTTATTTCATCCTTCAATCGTTAAATCACGTTTGACGGCGCAAAAGGACATGGCGGATGAACTACATTACTCAGAGTCATTAATATATTAAACATTGAAAACGCAACTTCAAGACGAGAAGCGGGCAGTATGCAAACTGCCCAAGTTTTGGGCGGTATGCATACTGCCCAAGGGGTCGGGTAGTATGCATACTACCCGGGCGGTATGCATACTGCCCGGGCTGTCGGGTAGTATGCATACTGCCCGGGTAGTTTGCATACTGCCCAAGTTAGCATATGACCCGTAACATATACACGAAAACGCTCTGTTGGCTGGTTCTGCTCTATTTTATTCATAGGTCACAACACAGTCCATCCTGTACACCCATCGGGATAACATGAACAATTCATCACTGACAATGCCACCCTTTCTCTCAGCACCTCAACGTTTACGTACAAACACGCGGTGGCAGCAGTCTTCAGCCGCCAGCTTTTAAGATTTACCGACGCCCAAGGCCGTTTATATATGTATGTGCAATGAGAAACATGCCAATGCCATGTACAATGTACGCGGGGACATACATAAATGCGCATCGCGCAGTGTGCACATACATCCACTTGCAATGTATGGACACGATTCGTCGATTTGCCCTGGTCACCGTTGGGCACTCTTACGCTAGTGCCGGAGAACATACACGGAGTTCCAGAGTGTCCGAGTACCAGGGTTCCACAGCACTGCAGTTTCGGAGGACCAGAGTGCCAAAGTGTGGGACTTGGACAGCCATAAGCTGTCATAACTGGGAATAGTGTACAGTGCGAGATGTAACTCCCAATCTTAGGAACAATCATCATGGGACAAGTGAATGTGCAGGGTTAAGAGCTGACGATAAGCTTTATACTGTATGGATTTTTTCAGCATGTCGTCAATTGTTAATTTTCAAACGTTAACATTTTCAGCCAATTCGAATAAGACACATGTTTAAACACTATCGTCAGCTCATATATTGACCAAGTCGTGTGTTAAACTCAGCATCGGTGAAAGTCAAGATCAGTTTGACAGTGCTCATTTTCACAAGAAGGAACCATCCAGCACAACATGAAAACTTCACAAATCTGAGTATGTTAACCACTTCTGAGATCATCGAGATTCACATTATGAGATTCGATTACGTCTAAAAGATGTAACACACGACTAACAAATGGAATGGGCAAATGAAGACGTGGCAAAAACCATTCCACTAACGAAGCATGGACACACGTAACAACAATATCTCTCTCTCTCTTTCGTTCTCCGACCACAATGCACACACTGATGCGATGTCACAAGCTAACGATTCTCTGCGGAGAGTGATGATGTACCAATGGGTCGCTTCGCCACACGTGAATGTCGCCGTCGATATCTCAGAGTTAAATAACTAGCATTGTTTCGACTAGCACACAGTGTGAGATCATAGGGAAATAAGCTTGGCGCCCTCACCTTCCTGCAGCTAAATAAAGCCGAACGACACAGAACACCGAAGATGGTACAGAGACATGGTAGAAAATACAAGAAGTGCGTCATTAAAAGATGAAATTAATGATGACGCGCTTAATTGTCGTACAATGCAGCGTGCTTGGACCCTAGGCCGCAAAGGGTTTGAATCACTGCCATATTCAAACATCACCAATCCTAGAAGTCCAACCAAGCTAACCTGAGCATAAAATACTGCCGTCCGCCCAGCTCACATGCCGCGGATTCAACCAGACACAAAACGCAGAATAAGTGACTAGCTTCCATGAGTATTTAAAAGCCACCACACGAGCGCTCGCTAACGGATAAGCGCACACGAGCACGTTATGTCGGATGCAGCCGAGTACTCTCACTCAGCCGGCTACGCACTACACAGCACCTGTCAACACCCTCGGACCTGCGGCACCGCGCCGCACTTAGCAGTTTCCACTCTCTGCACTCGTGAAAAAATAAACAACATGACAATGACCCCAACATGACCGGCCCCCGACCGCGCGTCAGTATCACAATCGGCCGGCGCCAGCGCTCGGCAGTACAAGCGACGGGACCAGCCCTGTCAGCGCACTCTGGTCCAGCGAGTCTACACCGCGGCCAAAACGGAACAGCGGCCCGTCCCCGCGCGGCCCCCGGACCGGCCACCCGCCCCAGACAACCCCGCATTGTGCCCACCGTGGCACACATACCGAAATCGCCCGACCGACGGACAGAGTGGTAGGCGACTCCACCAAAGTCCGCGTCGCCACAGTGCCAGGATAGGACTGTCCGAATGATGATTGTGGTCCGATGTGGGGGCAGATTGAGCCACTGTGCGCCTCAGCCGACATCCCTGAACTCTACACTGATCAAGTGCAGCGTTTAGAGGTCGATCTGACGCTCATTTGGCCGGCAGCCGCGCCGTTGTTTCGGCTGACGCAGGCGGAGGGTGCGTTCCAAGCGCAGCACACGCTCACCGCAGCGGGCCTTGCACTTACGGGACACGGCCTGCTCGCGGTTGAAGAATCGGCGCAGACGCTCTGAAAATAAGAATAGCACAGTTTAGAGAGAGAAAATATATGAAACCACCATTGGGATCGCATGGGTCGGGCGATCAGAAAGCTAGGGTGGCCCGAAAAGAAATCATCGACATTAGTTTACTCATTGGTTAGGTAATGCGGTAATAATGGATAAAATAATATCCCTATGTGTGCAACAACATTGTCCGTTGCTGTAGCACTGTATCAATGAGCAAAAAATAAAATTGTCACGCGATGTAACCCCGCCATCACCTTGTGAACTACGCGATGCTGAGCCCGGTTCACCCATTCTCATCCACGCCGAACGGGATAACAGTAGCGTCTACATTCCGGTTTGCTCTAACCGCTCACTCTCGACCATGTCTCCCCTCCCAACCTGGCACACTCACTCTGATTCGTGGTGCCGAGCATCTTGAAGCTAGCCACCTCCTTGAGGTCGCTGACGCTGCTGTCGTCGATCCTCAGCATCCTGAAGGTCTGCTTCTCGCCGCGGCTGAACATCCACTCGTGCTTCTCAGAAAGACCGTACCGGGTGGGCCGCTCGAAAATGTACTGAAACAGACACGGGGTGGTGGTGGTCAGAACAACATCATTGCATGAAAGAAAGATGTGACAAATGAAAGATGCATGTTCATGGAAAAAGACGACATAAAAGATGTGACTACCTGAGCAAGCTTGATCACAATTATTTCATGTTGGCGGAGTGAACGTAACAAATAAAAATCGATTACGTACAAAAATGAAGACATTTCCGTAACAATTGAAAACTGAATTAGCAAACACTGAGTGTAGGATAGTCTACCTAGATTATCATAAAAGAGTGCCTATAGCTTATTCAAAGTTCAAGTCTAACTATAGTTTACGAAAAATTGTTTGACGGTATACCGTCAAACATCTTTTTCGGTTCTATCTATCTGAAGTTTGTCGGCTCACCTGGATGAACTGTGAGATGTTGGCGCCGCCATGCGACTTCCACACGAGCAGCGCCCTCTGGGCCGGGACACATTTGACCAGGGGCATGTCCGGGCGAGAGGGTGCCGCCTGTTCCGAGCCTGCCGGACACAGGGTGAAACAGGACCTCAGTCACGAGATTTCCACACATTAGCGTCCGTCAGTTGATAAAGAAGATTGCTTTGAATAAGCTTTCAAAGGTCCAAGAGACTACCTAGTTCATCACATAATATCCAGGGCATCTTTCTTTCATATTTGCCATCCTATCAAATTTTACGAGCGAAAATCAGCACTGAATGCTGAAGGCCTGGAAGTGTTGGTGCAAATCGCAACAGTTCGCAACAGTTCACAACACAATCGCAACAGTTTCCAACCTTTGAAGTTGGAAAAGGGAAGGCAGCAGCTCCTACCTTTGGAGTTGGGGCAGAGAGGGCAGCATTGTCCGAGCACCACCTGCGGCCGGGCGCAGGTCGGCTTGGGGCACTGCACGTGGCTACACTCGACGGTGCCGGCCGAGCAGCGGCACAGGTCGCAGGTGAGCCGGCCGAACGGCCCCATCACCGGGTGCCACGTGGCGCCGTTCGGGTACAGTCTGAAACAGAAGGAGATGCTGGTCATTGACGGGGTCTGGTGGACCAAACTTCTACAGAGTCTCAGTGATGTTCGGTGAACTTATAGATGATGCCGCATGGTGTCGTTTCGCAGAAAGATTGTGTGTGTTATGTTTATCAGGTTTATACGAGTTATCTGGAAATCTACATACTTGAATCCTATTTCTGACTGCTTCTTCACACTCTGTATCACCAAACCTGCACCAAAACCTCTTATATCCATCAGTAAAGCATATTGAATCATACAGCTCGTTGGCAATGTGCTCACGAGTCCATCGCTTCTGGAGATAAGAACAGTCTCCGGACCACTGCCCATCGTATAGTCCAGCCAGGCCCGTCTACCCGTCAAATGTCAACGACAGCAGAGTCGGCTGCGCTTTCTCGGCGACAACGACGGGCACGCGACAGTCGGGAGCAGGGGTCAGCGCGGTCAGTTGCTGCATGTTGACCTCTGACCTTAGCCAAGAGCACCTGGAGACACCAGAGGCCGACGAGACGCGATTGGGTGGCGCCAGCGCAGCCGAGGGTCCGCAGGTTTGTTTCGTATAAAAATGTTATTTATTGGTAACTTTATTTTTTGTATACAAAGCTTTTCTTTGCCTTTCGTTCGAACGTTTAAGTTCTGAAGAAGCAAAAGTAGGTCTAGGAAAAACAAAGACAAAAACCAAATCATCCTAACCAACCCTTCACTTTTGAGTCTAGCTCGCAACAAAATGCCTATCGGTGATTTTGTTTACACCTTGCTATGTAAACATTCGTCTACCAACCCTAAGAACTAGTGGTTTTCCAGACCCACGCTTATCTAGAAACCATCGAGGACGGCTATCCGAAAACGAGGAATCTCGAAGCAACTGCCCTGAACCCTTACATAATGATGGAGCGAGCGCACGATGCACGGCGCCTCGGCTCCGCGCCCGGCGGGCCGGGGAGGGCCCGCAACAGGGAGGTCCTGGACGAGTGGAGTGTAACAGCCGCCGAATCCTGGCAACTCAGCTCCGGGTCCAGTTCGGCGAACCTCCAGCCGCAGTACATGCCCCAGTGCGGCTGACAGAGTGGCGGCGACGGCGGCGGTAACTTTCCCGACTATACCACCGCCCGCCACCGCCCGGTCCTCCGCCGCCGCCGTCGCTGCCGTCATCGAGACGAGGCGCCGATGTTAGGCGGTCCAGCCGGGCGGTTCAGGGCGGTAGCGGAGGGCGGTGGCGAAGAAGGACGACAAAAAGGAGGGCCAACGTCCGGCTAGGCTGTCCAGGCTCCATTCGTCATGATTGGGGTAGTCGGAATTTGACGGCGGAGGCCGGCGGCGCTGCGGGCATCGACCGAATCCTTGTCTGGGTCGTCGCCGCCTCCCCCTCCTCCAGCGAACAGCAGGGAGATCAAGGGCGGCGTCACCGTGGGGGCAGTGGGGGCAAACTGCCCCCACTGGCATGAGGCCATGGGGGCAAGACTATGTTTTTGCCCCCACAAAATTTGGCTGATGTTGAAAAGGGAACAGAAGACCGGTGCAACATTCATGATAGGCGATTATAATAGTACGTCTGTTTTTGACGATCCCCGTATCAAGTGCATCAGCAGAACGTTCGTTCTCGGACCGCCTATCGCATATCTCCTACTCCCACTCATTCCCCTACTCATTTTCATTCACCAGAAGGCTGTCCTCGAGCTTGACCTCGAGGAGGTTGAGAATCAGTTTGTCAAAAGTCGGCCGGAGAAGAGAATAGAGATCACCCTCTTTTGGGAACCCTTAGCCTGAGACTGAGGTCAGGGAGGTATGACAAAATGTGATAGGTGTGTATATGCATTATATATGCAATTTGGCGCATCTCGACGAGACGAATGCGAAGGTACGGCTCTCGCGAGATTAAGCGGTAGGTTATTGCACTTTTGCATTTCCGGTTATATCTCAGAAACTAATCGAACTACGATGAAGCCATTTTACACGATCATGGCCGGCTTGTTACCCAACAAGTCGATCGCATTTTCAACACTTAAAAGCCTAAGACGACGAAGATATAGCCTAAAAACACTAAATTTTTAATGTGCAAAACCTACCGTTAAAACCCGCGAGACCTGTACCACTGCCGTATAGCTCTAGGACCATTTTTGTTGAAGTTATTTGCGAAAAAAAACTTAACCCGGCGGCCGCTGGGCCTCCGCGCCACCCGCCGGCCGCTGGGGGGGGGGGGGGCATATAGTTGCCCCCCTTTACTTCTGCGACGATATCGTCGCAACGCGAAGAGATAGAGAAGCGAAACTTTGCACACATCTTCCTGAATACCTAGCCGAGGTTGTGTCCAAATTTGGAGTCGATCCCATTTGAAATGACGTCACAGTGACGTCATAAGTGAAATTATAGATTTGCGACTCTCATATCCCTCACGATACATCAGGTATATGGGACCGAATAAAAAGAGTCGATTATTGGTCAGAAACTAGATGGAAGTGTAGTTAGATGTTTTAGGATGACAGCAGGTGCTGTCTAGTTCATTTACAGTTGAGTTTCATGCTCAGCGTCATCGGAAACGGTCCATAACGGAAAACGACAAAACTTTATGACGTCACTGTGACGTCATCTTAGGTGCTACAACCACCAAACTTTCCTCAAACATTGCCTAGGTATTCACTTGAAGCTATGCTAAGTTTCACGTTCGTAGCTCATCAGGTTTCGGAGATATTTCACAAAACGTAAAGGGGGGGGCAACTTTATGCCCCCCCCCCCAGCGGCTCGTGGGTTAAGCCCCAGCTTAGGGTCGTTGACCTGACCTCTGACCTCGGGTCACCAAAGTTACTTAAGTATTTCTTTTTCTAGGTAAAATGCTACACAACCGTGCTCGTAACAATTGACTCTAGCTCTAAAACTCTTTCTCTGGCAGCTGGTTGAAGCTTTGGTGACCTGAGGTCAGAGGTCAGGTCAACGACCCTGAGCTGGGGCTTTAGTTTGTTTTTCGCAAATATGAAATACCTAACTTCAACAAAAATGGTCCTAGAGCTACGGCAGAGGTACCCTCGCATTCGTTTCGTCGAGATGCGTCGAATGACATATATATTGTTTGGAAAAGGTCAAGTTTTATGTTGACCTCACCCTCACGTACACGTCTGTGACGCCGACGTTTGCCGTGCAGGGATCTAGGAAAATCGACCTTGTGACGTTGTCAAGGAGGCTAGGTCCAATTTTTTTGCTTTCAAAAGATGTCAAATTAATGGGGGATAAGGTACAGCAAGTTTCGTCTTTCTATCCCAACGCGTTCGTGAGGTATCGCAAACATTCGCCAGGGGAGGCGAAAAACGCCCCCCCCCCCTTCCGGGCCAGCGAGGGTTAATGGTTAAGCTCAATATGTATGTATGCATGAAACCTGAAACCATAATAATTTTGAATGGCAACAACTAGGGGGAAGGTGCTCATGGGTTTTGCAGTTCGGCGTATCAGACAACAGTCGGGTCACCTCAAGCTTGCCCCCACTGGCGAAAATTCGTGGCGCCGCCACTGAGGGAGATGCTGTTGGGCATTGTCAGTTGGTGATAATGAGTCCTTCCACAATGGTGGATGGATTGCGAGGAACCTCGCGGTATTCGATTAAGTCTCTCACGAATATAGTAGATGCTCAGAAGGCCAGGGTTCTCCCGTTTGCGGTGAACATCATGTAGGTACGCGGGAGATGAATCACGATTCACGAAATAACAAAGCATGCAAGCATTGAATTGAAGTTAGCCGACGTAAAAGCGTGGGTGTGTTCTATTTTGGATTAGAATGATCAAAAGCTGCATGAAAGGGATGAATGAGCTACCATCAATTATCAATCGATGGGACACTAGTGACGAACAGCGAAAAACCCGTTCGCCAAATTCGGTCACATTTTCTCTGAAGTCTTCCCCATTCTGTTTTGAGCCGATGGAACCAGTCCGCGGAACTTTTTCAGTCTATTTTGGCCCGCTGTCACGGGAGCGATCCAGCGAGTGTCTAACTGTCAAACACGCCGGCATTTTGGCTGAACGCATTCAACAAGCCGAGAGCGGAACGGCTGCCGCGCTCCCTTTGAGAGCCAATCAGAGGGGAGGGGGGAGGGACTGAGGAGGGGAATCGGACACCGCCGACTCTCAGACGGCCAGTCAGGATGGCCTTTCAGAATCGAGCTAATTATAACCCATACTAAACAGGACTCAAAGTTCCAGCAAGTGTCTGGAGCATGAGCATTATGGGATCTGCATTGAGGTAGCACGCTCGTCGAGCGTGAAATCTGAAGCGACCACCTCCTTGAGGAATGTCTAAGTATAGTCGCACATCTGGTCCTGCCTTAGACGCTAAGGAGTAAGCATTGCTGCACATTAGGGTACCCATTTTTCCCGATTTTGGAAATTTGTGGGTGGGGGTGGTTTTTCCCATTATTTCGCGGCTTGTGATTCCAATGATGCCAAAAATATTAAAATCAAAGGTGGTTTAGGGGTCGCGAATTGAGATTGAAATTTGCGTATTTACCTAGAAATATGCCTATTTGACGCTGATAATAAATCGCACTAAAGGCAAAGTTTTTGTTTTGAAAGTCGGGTAGAGGGGTCATTGAGCGCTCATTTCCTCATCCAGATCGATGTGCTCCATCACGTGGTTCCGGTTAAATGCTTTACTAGCGATCATTACGATGTCGATATTGTAACATTTGGTGAAAAGCGCCGGGAATCCCGGCGACCAACAACAGGAGCAAAACATCCCGGCCCGGGATGTTTTGCCCCTGTTCTTGGTATCATTCTGGTCAGCGTGTAATCATTTTTGAAATCTTCTGCCTCTTGAAGGTCATGAGTTGTAATGGTGACCTTTGATGACCTGTGAGGTCAAATTAAAATGGGACCTTTCAGTTGCCACGTCTCTGTTCATGACAGGCTCTTTGTGTCCATACAATTAAAGTTTGCGCAAATGAGCTCAGGATACATCTCACAGATCATGGCTTCGAATGGATTTCAAATCATGTAATTAAAAAACGATCGAACC